CCTTAAAAAAATTCTCTGATACTACCAAATGTGGTATAAGGTTTTCATCAGGTAGTTGTCCTCATTGAAATAATTGGCATGAAAATTATTTATTTTATTTTTTGTGAGGGTTATCCGATTGGATTATTCTAAATTGATCAAACATACAACTTCAACACGGCAAGTATTGATACTCTTGTTATATATGCATGCCATCACCTAATCATAAGAGGTCAAATTTGGCAAAAGCATTCAACTCACTTTTAGAAGGCTTTCTATAAATGTCACCAATTCAGTCTCATTTAAGAAATTGACATGCACAATTGTCAAAAGTTACTCTAACACATGACAACTTTGCCACCATCAATTTCATCTTCAAACATAAATTCAGGTGGATTAGTACTTTACTTTGTTAAAATGTACTTGGGAGATACAGCTGATGATGTGGAGTCCATGATGCTGAGACATTTTGTCAAAGATTCCAACATTTTTTTCTTATTATATGGATATTAGATATACATCATATATTTCTAGCCTACCCAACATTTATGCCAATTTTTTATTATATGTACTTTAATTTTCAATCTCAAGCTCCCTCAAAATTAAAAATCTTGGCTTCTCCGCTCTGAGTTCTTGCACTGATTAGATCTCATGTTATAAAACCAATTAGAGTCAAATAAATTTTTCCTTAGAACATTTAAACTTAATTTAAAATAAGGGAGAATTTTATCTAAGAATCACAGTAACTAATTATTTAAAAATCAAATCCAAAAACTCTTAAATTACACTATAGGATTTTGAGACTGAAGTGATATAAAATACTAAAGCAAAATGATCAAAATGTCCTTCTAGAATGATTCAGAGGAATTATTAACTTTACTTGTAAAATCTATAATATTACATGTTAATTTTCTTCTATTGCTTGCTAAATCCATAATATTACTTATATATCATTAATGTGTATTAAATTCATCTATCATGACTTGTTATATTATTAATTTACTTGTAGAATCACTAACATTGTTTGTTAATTTCTTCATATTACTTGTTAAATTTGTAACGTTAATTAATTGTACATTATCAAGGTTGTGTCAAACCATTCATCATGATGTGTTTAAATAATTAAATTTACTTGTAAACTCGCTAACATTACTCATTAATTCTCTTGTAACATTACTACTTATGCATTATTTAATAACCTATGTTAAATCCATCCATCATGATATGTTAAATTATTAACCTTACATCGCTAACATTAATTGTTGATTTCCTTATGTTTCTTGTTAAGTTTAATTTATAATGTTATTTGTTGTTAAACAATAAGACAATTTGGTCATTCTACACTGAAAGTTTATTTCAATTAAGTCCTCCAATATAATTCTACAGTGTAATTTAAGAATTTTTTGGGTTTGATTTTGTAAATAAATAATAATTACTGTGGTCCTTAGATGAAATACTCCCAGAAAATAATCGTTCAGATGTGGAATAAAAACAGGCACAAAATTAGTTAGTCAAAAAATTTCTACGTATTCTGTTGAAGTTTGATTTGTATTTGTCATCATCAACTCATCATTGCCTGGAAGAAAAGACCATGAATACATGAAAAAAGTAACGAAATAGAGAAGTTCAAAGGCATAATATAATACTCACAAAGAAAGGCATGCAAAGTCCAAGTTAATGTCATATAAGACTACTGTCTCATTTTGTCTCATTAATAATGAAATTAATCAATGTCTCTTTAATCCCTAAAACAAGTTATCATATTTTATACTAGTATTTCATTTACTACACACACACACACAAATCGCTATGTACTGTAATACACATCAAAATTTGAGTATAGTTCAATCGCAATCGTTAAAATGATATTAATATGAAATATAAAAAATAACATACTGCTCTATACTCCTATTAACGTATAGGATGTGTTGATTACTTACTTAGTAATATATACACATTTAATTTGAATTGGGATTAATTAGGAACTGAGAAAAATATTATTTGAGTATCTTTAATTATGTGGTTGCTACAATATATAAATGGTGATTAACTAGGGGATAATGGTTAAAAATTGGTGCTTAACTTGACCCTATGCCGTCCACTCAAAATCAAACCTTTATCTCTTCAATATATATATATAGAGAGAGAGAGAGAGATAATTTTATGGTTAACCTGTCTAATAATTAAATAATTTTGAAAGAATGACAGCTACCCTTGCTGAATCTGAAATGGAATAAAAAGTATAGTAGAATTGTCCTCCCTTTTTTATTTTCCAACTAATAGAATTGTCTTCCTAAAGACAATAAAGAAGTTGATAATTAAACTATTAACTATCTTTATCAAAGACCTCATAAATCCCGAAAAGCACACATTCCACTTTTTTCTATTGTTCCATTTTATATCTCAATTCCCAAAGAATCTACTTGACATTATTTTTTTTTCCCCAACATGATCCACGGTCAAGATTAACTTGTCTCTTCAAGGAATGTGACCGGCGAACTGGCTCGGAACCTACCTTTCTTATAACATATAAAAAATTATATTTGATCTGACCGAGTTAATTATTTAAATCAAGCTTAGATAGTTCATGTTTTTGAGGGAAAAAAACGCGTTAAAATGCAAAAAAAGGAAAAAGAAAAATTTACATGGTTTATAATTAAATTAATCAACGATTTAGAACATACACAATTACACATGTACATCAGTACATGTTTCCAACTTCCAACCTTATCAACTGCACCTGGATTCTTAAAATTCTGTACGATTTGTTTATCCATAGTGGTTGGATTAGGTCTTCTCTCGGGCCTTCTGATTGTGATTTCCCACTTCATTTAAATGTACAATGACTAAAATACCCTTTCTCTTGCCCCTCTCTGATGTGACTTTCAGCCATTGCTCATTGGTGTTTACAAAAATAAATGAATGGACCAGCCTCCAAGCCAGCCATTGCATATTTGCATGCATCAAACACAAGAACTTTAATCTATAAACAAGTTAAAGCCATATATATATATATACACACACATATTTAACATGCAGATAAATATACAATATGACTATTTTTTGAATACATTAAAGCATATCTTCTATAGTGTGCCCTGATGTGTGTGTGTGTGTGTATAGGACTTTGTGTAATGTATGAGAACTTATATCTAATTATTTAGATTACTAAATTGTAATATTTATAACATGTCATATATTATGTATGGCAAAGGTGAATGAACAAAATTAAAGAAATAGTGTTGTTGATAAAAGATATATAGATATATAAATCTTTGTATAAACCATATGGTCAAAAGCCTTTGTTTGTTGACTTTAACCAATTCAAATTCAAGCCGACTCAGATTTCAAACATAGGGCAATTCTTTTAAAGGCATCTTTGATATTGATATGGATTCGAAGCCAAGACATTATACTTAAGTAATCACAACTCATCTTTGAGATTAATGTTTAATTTGTTGGTAAATAAATCTTTAATATTAAATGTTGTTTGTTGCCACGCACGTACTTTGATATATTTTCAAATAAATGTATTATGCATTCATTGGAAATTCAATTTAATAAATGGAGGCATCTATCCCATATTCATAATTTAACATTTACATGGGCTAACACCTGAAATACTTCAAATTGTGTTATATATGTCCATGATCAATCATATCCACTAACATGATTGAGTTGATCAATCTTCTACATTCATGCGAATTCGAAGCCAAAACCTAATGCTTAAATAGTATAATGTTTTCTATTAGGATCAACATCTATTGTCGATAAATAATCATATACCTTCAACACTAAATATTGTCTATTGCCACATGTTTTTTAATATATATTTTAATTTTAATTTAATTTCAATTATATATTATGCATTTATTGAAAATCCGATCCAAATCAATAAATGTAGGCATCCCAATTAATGTAGGTGATGTGTCGGACTTTTGAGTCTGACGTTAATTTTTAAGTTGACCATCGTGCACATATTTACTCTTAAAATGAAATCTGAACCATTTAAATCTAACAATTCTTGTTTGCGTCTAGATGAAAAGAATCAAAATCCTCTAAAATTAATAGTGCCCAATTTAAAATTATATAAAGAGAGGGAACTTTTTGTCATATAAAAGCTTAGAGAAAATGAAGAAGAACCTCACAAAATGAATACCATGTCAAAGGCAGCCAAGCACACCAAATTGAGGATCAGACCACTTTTTTGCTCTTTCCATGTCAGTCACTATTACAAACGGTAATAGTACACACACTGCCACAGCAAACAAATTCAGACCAATTTTCTTCAGACTTCACCAATCATACTTCAGGTGTTTCCTTCTTTACTTTCTCTCAAGGCTATATAATAACATCTTTTTTTCCCCCTCATTTGGTTCCATGCTTTTTTTGTTCCTGAGTTGGGATCTACATGGATTTGAATATGATAAAAGACTTAAAGCCACCCATTCAATGAAAATTTAAATCATGGTTATTGGATGTTATCAAACCTTAAAATTGTTAACATACATTTCTTTCTAAAAATTTAAAGCAACGCTCACATAAGAAAATATATGTTGTCCCATCTAAAAATTTAATATTTTTTAAATATTACAAGACAAAATTTCTAACAACCTTCATTTGAATCAAAACTAAAAATTTATCATCATGCTATATAAAACACTCGTTCAATAAGGAGATACATGACGTAACCGTCTCGTGGTCTGATTTACAATTTACAGTGTCAGTTTCACCTCCTTCAGTTCTATACTTTTATTTGATTGATTATTTTGAATTTTCCTGTGAGGACCAGTGGGGCCCAGTGATGAGAGAAAGTTTGTCTGTGAGTGAGTAAGAAGATACCATACAAGAGAGAGAGAGTGGTGTAGTAGCTGTTTCATGCTGCTTTCTCACATACTGTGTCGTTTTGTGGCCGCGATCGGGTCCACCGACTCGCAGGGTTTTCTCTCTCATTTCTACTATTTATTATTATTATTAATTCTGTGTTCCTCTCCATCTCTCTTACTTGTTAATTTTTCATATTGTGAATATCATTTATGGCAGGGAACAAATGAGCGAAATCTGGAGGAAAAAACATTGAAAAGGGAAAAGCAGGCCAGAGAATTGCAGAGATACAGAGAGAGAGAGAGAGAGGAAAATGAGGAAGCAAAAAACCAAAAAAATTTCTTCAGTGCTTATGTGTTGCCGTATCTGCATGACACCAAATCAGTGAAATAATTTCAGTAACATACCACTTCGCTTCAAACTGGCGTTTAAAATAAGCCAAGCCAGCTGAGAAAGAAAGAAGAAGAAGTAGCAGCAGCAGAAAAGAGAAATTCATATATCAAGCAGTGTGCCCATGGAGGGTTTGATTCCCTTTTCCTCCGTCTTCTTCTTCAATTCCCATACCTCTCTTTTAGCTTTCTCTTCCGTATATCTTCCCCTTTCTGTTTCTGCTGTTCATCATTAGACCCGCAAGGATTTGAGTTTCCTTGCTTTTGCGATTCTGGTTCAGAATTGCATGTGGCTTTTCCAGAATTCAGATATAGCTTTATAAGGCCGAAGAAGCAGAGAAAGGATATCCCCAGCTGAACCAGACCAGACCAGATTAGACCACTTGTATTCTTGGAGAAGAAGAAGAAGAGGAAGGATATATATACACATTCACAAAGATATATATATGCTATCTGATATGGCTGCATCTTCTTCGTCTGCGTCGCTCTTCGGAATTAGAGGAGATCAGGGTCCGATGATGAATCCGCAGCAGCATTCATCGACTCCGAGTTCGTCAACCACCGCAGCTGCACCACCACAAAAGAAGAAGAGAAACCAACCAGGAACACCAAGCAAGTATCCCAATATAATTTTTATACAATTTAATTAATCCTTAAATTTCCAAATCAACGTTGTGATGAACTGATTTTAATTTCCTCTTCAGATATTCATCGCTCATCCTCTTTTTCCGAACCTTCTATAAACATAAAAAAATTCCCAGAAAACCCTAGGTCTGTAACCGAAACTCAGAAATGAGGAATTAATTCCCTGAAAGCCAAAGTGTTTCAGACCCCTGCAGACTTTTAATTCTCAGCTTTATTAATTAATTAGTTGTATAATGAATAGTTTGTGGTTTGGCTTTTTTCTGTGAGAACGTACAGATCCAGACGCAGAGGTGATAGCTCTATCTCCGAAGACTTTAATGGCAACAAACAGGTTCATATGTGAGGTATGCAACAAAGGGTTTCAAAGAGAGCAGAACCTACAGCTTCACAGAAGAGGACACAACCTGCCTTGGAAGCTGAAGCAGAAGACAAACAAAGAGCCAAAGAGAAAGGTATATCTGTGTCCCGAGCCCACATGCGTACACCATGACCCCTCAAGAGCTCTCGGTGACCTCACTGGGATTAAGAAACACTACTCTCGCAAACACGGCGAGAAGAAGTGGAAGTGTGAGAAGTGTTCCAAGAAATACGCGGTTCAATCTGATTGGAAGGCACATTCTAAGACTTGTGGTACCAGAGAATACAGGTGCGACTGTGGAACTCTCTTCTCCAGGTAACTTATATCATTAATTCAAGGGATCGTATTATAGATTGAGTTACTTAGTTCTGAGTATCGCTAACTGTATGTGATGAGAAGGAAAGAGAGCTTAGGGAAGAAAGAGGGTTAGATGCTTTCTGTTTTCCAGAAGATGATAAAGATTCTGCGTCCTTTTCTTTCTCTCGTATGGTTTCGTTTGTCATGTTTGCTTTCTCTTGGTACGTTGGGATAGAGGAAATGGAAGGAAACGTCGTTCCCACGTGAAATTATGTTTGGAAACTGCCTCGGTCGTAGGGTATCAGGAAAACACACGAACCTAACAGCATCATCGTCATCGTTACCATCTTCTTCTTCTTCATCTTTCTCTCTCTTTCTCTGGATTTTACCTTGGGAACAGTGCAGGTCTAGCCCATTACCTTTTATTTTGTTTCTTTCTATTTTCTTCCGATTCACGTGTTGCTATATGCAATGCGGTGTTGCCACCATGTTTGTTCTCTTATGGGTTGGCTAGACGTGCTCAGTACTGTGCTCTTGCAGGTATCCTCCAGGTTCTCCTTTTCATGTAAAGTTTGGCCTGCAAATCAATAATTCCATTTCTCCCCCTCTCTCATTCTCTGCCACACCAAGATCCAAAGCTTAATTTCCAGGACTGGGTTTCTTTCTTCATGCACAGTCCTAAAAATATAATGCAGCCACACTAATGGATCTTAATTAGGGACGGAATTAAATACATAAACTCTTATATATTATAGTTTTTCCTGCCTATACTTGCTCCATTAATGCACGCAGAGATTTGGCATATTAAGATTTATATGGTACTACATTTGGACAAGGCAAGTCCCAGCCAGCTTGTTCTTAATTAAATAATCTTGTGGAGGTCAAATATATTGTTTATTTTCGTTGATATATTTGTCTGTACACCTTCCAATGGATAGAACTTTATTAATGTATTCATTGGTTTAATTACTTTCATAATAAAATGAGTTCTTAAAAATAGTTCAACTAACGTGTTTTAAGACTATGTATAATGCACCTCTCTTTAATATAGTACCAGTAGCGTTCTTAAGCTTGCGAAAAAAAAAAAAAAACTTGTTTAATTAACTGATGAGTACTATATATGTACTAATAATCAAAAGCATCAATGTTTTGAGGAAATAATCAATGTTGCAGGAGAGACAGTTTTATCACCCACAGGGCGTTTTGTGATGCACTGGCTCAAGAAAGTGCGAGACAACCATCCGACTTGATTAGCAGCGCCATTAATGGGAGCCAGCTCTATGAAAGTAACAACTTGGCGGCTTTAGGCTTGTCTCAGGTGGCCTCCCACATCTCTGGTGCCGTCCATGATCACCACCCCAGCAACCAAATAGCCGGCGACATCTTGCGACTCGGTGGCACTGCTCGGACAGGCCAATTCGACCACCTTCTTCCACCTTCCTTAATTAGACCGCCACCGCCGCAGATGGCTGCTGCGGCCAATGTTGCTTCTCCTCCGGTCTTCTTCATGACGGAACAATCAAACCAAAACTATCACCACCATGATCACCATCATCAGCAAAACAAGCAATTCCATGGACTCATGCAATTCTCTGACCTTCATCACAATAATAGCAACAATTCTCCAACGGCTGCGCCTAATAACACCAACCTCTTCAACCTTCCTCCGTTCCTTTCCAACACTGCCAACAACAATAACAGTCCTTTGTCCGAAAGCGCCGCTACCGGAGGAGGACAAATCGACGGCCCCAACAGCTTCTTCTCCGACCAAATCACAAGCTCCAGTGCTCCTTCTCTTTTCAGCACATCTCTTCAGAACAACAGTAACAGCAGCAGCTTTCCTCCCATGTCTGCAACAGCACTGCTTCAAAAGGCTGCTCAGATCGGTGCGAATTCTAGCAACAACAGCGCCACGGCCTCGCTACTCAGAAGCTTCGGAAGCTCTTCCTCCACCACCGGCTCCAAGTCTGATCATCAACACCACAGGCCACCGCAGCAGCTGGTCGGAGCAAACTATGGCGCCATTTTTGGAGGGTCGTCGACGTCGACGTCGACGAACAACGATGGTCAGAACGGCAATCTGCAAGACTTGATGAACGCATTCAGTTCTGTTGGCGGGTATGAAGGATACGATCATCGTCATCATCAACAACAACAGCAAAACAGCTCAAACACAAGAGACCTGAAACTGCCCGCGGGATCTGACAGGCTCACTCGAGATTTTCTTGGGGTTGGGCAGATTGTGAGAACCATGAGTGGAGGAATTTCGCCCGGAGATCATCATCAGCAGCAGCAGCAACAAGGGTTCATGAACTTGGGCTCGTTGGAGACTCACAGAAATAATAATAATGCTGCGGCGCCGTCAGGCCAATCTTTTGGAAGCGGAGGGAATTTTCAGTGATTAGTTAAGCTCGAAGCTGCGAAAAAACAAAGTACCAGGTACGTGAAAAATTGCTAGCCCCGCTCTGTGATTGATTGCGAGCTATGGTTGTTAAAGTTTGATTCCATCGGTAAATGTGTCCAAAAGTAGAGCAGGTTACTTTGCAATTTGCATGTTCTCGAACAACCCTCGAGGGAAAAAGACGTAGATTATTCTTGGGAAAAATCCTACTTTTCTTCCAGATATGCTTATTACTCGATTTTAATTTTTAATTTGGCATTTTAAAATTATTTTTAAACACGGTATCTTTTAATATTATATAAATAAATAAATAAATTAATTAATTAAAATGATAAACTTTAACGAATACCCACTAAATTTTGAAAATAGGAAATAACTTAAATTTTTTGTGATTAATTAACTAAAAAATTTTTAAAATTAAATTTCTTATTTTTGGAATATAACTAAATTTTAATTTCATCATATATATACTCCCTCTAGTCCTAAATTTAATGTCTATTTGAGGGTTTTGATTTGACCCTAAATATAAAGTCTTATTGCCTCTGATCTCTTATATTATTATTTTTTATTTTTTTATAATATCTCTGCCATTTAATGATGAGACATTTTTATCTCCACGCATTAAAATTTTATCATTAAATGGCAGGGTGTTTTTGAAAAAGTGTCATAAAATTTCCACGTATTAATTATAAAAACCCCACTTACACAGTCTTTTCAAAATTTATGAATTAATGCAGAGGACCATGTATTTGGGATATGAGGGAGTATGTAAGTAAAAAAAATATTAAAAAGATTAAACTAATCATTAAGAAACATAAGATAATGATTTACTTAGAAAAATGGAAGGTTTTGTGTGAGATTAGAGAGATGAATATGGATACGATGGTGGAAAGTTTAAGTTCATCGGTAAATGTGAGCCTAAAAGTAATGTAGCTTTACATATTTATTTTTTTTTTACTGTGGGGTTGGACATTTGGTTTGGGTAAAATTAAAAAAGAAAAAGTGGGATGATTGTTTAATTAAAAGAGTAGGGAATGGTGGGCTCTGACAAAGTTGTCTTGCATGGAATGGACAGTGGTGAGCAGTGGCACTTTGTTTCTTCTATTGTCTTCTCCTTTTCAACTTTCTTCCATTTTTGTTTATATTTTCATTTCATTTGATTTTGATTTCTCAGAGTCACGAGTGCCCTCAACACCCAACAAACTTCCGCTCTTCTTGTCACCCTCCTATGACTAACGATTTCATTTTTTAAAATGTTGCCTCAACTTTCTTTTCATTCTTCTTTTCAACCTTCTTACACTTACATTTCAATTATTATTGAATGATTTAATTTAAACCTTTTTCACTGTATAATTTTAGTGTGTGCGTAGCTGCACATTATTTTTCAATCTTTAACCCGAGTTGCAAAGAATTTGTATAATAAAAATTTAGTTACTGTCTTAACCTTTTCAGTTATTGTAGGTTAAAAAATCTTCAACTCTTATAAAGTTAAAAAACACAACTTTTTTTAATATATATAATGTTTAAGAAGAATTACACATTTATGTCTAGCTAGTTTCCTCTTAGTTTCTCGAAGCTTGAATTTTGTCATGATATGCTTTAATCAACCTTACCATGTTTTGCCGCAGCATATAAAGGTCAACATGGGAAAAGCCAACCTTTTTTTTAATCTGATTTGTAATTAAATTTTGTTGTGGGTGTATAGCCTTTCGTTTCAAAAACAATAACAAAGACGTTTACTAACTTGTGTACTTTTGTAGGGATTTGGATATCATCAACATGTTCCATACAAGGTTGACTGGCTAATTCAGTTTATTGTTAGAAGCAGACATATACATGCAACTTTGCTCTATCCTCTCACTCATCACCTCATGGACTCAGATCATCGGATCGTTTATAATTAATTAGGCATCTTTCAACTCAATTGCATTGTCTTAAACTTAATTCAGAGTTTTTCTTTTGCTCTTTCCATCAAGTGTACCTGCATTCCGAAACAAAACAAAAAAACAAAAAAAAAATTTGTAGCTAGCACCAAACATATCATGGTTTTCATGAACTTAGTTACCAGACAATGCATTAGTTTATAGCTTTATGTTTCAGACTTCAGTTAATTTAATACCCTTCCTTTGTTCACATGTCTTAGTTTCAAGTTAAGTCTCCTATATATATATATATATATATATGCACTATATACGGTTTCTTTAATTTCTATTATATTTTGGTTGCCAATCTGTACTCTATAATTAAAATTTAGCAATTAAAATCTAATATTTTACAAGAGCATTAGTAATTTATTGAATTATATAAATAAATAAATAAATAAATTTAAACGGCTTGAAAGTTAATCTAAACAATTAAGAAGCACAATGAGATAAAAGAAGAATTCATGCATGTTTATATACATATATATATATATATATATATATAATGAGATTACTAATCATTTAGAGTTTGACAATTAAATGCGTGTATGTATATATTCAAATTTTAACCAGTCAATATATGATTATTTCATATTCTATGTTACAAGTTGCTTAGAAAATTCTCGAGTAAATATTCAGATATTATGAGCCCATTTATTTATGATTAAAAAATAAGTAATTTTTAGATAGTTTAAAAATTTTATAAAAAATATTTATTTTATAAAAATTTTATAAAAAGCAAACATTATTTTATGTTCGGTTATAATAATAAAAAGTGATTATTGATTAGTTACTTTTAAATTTTATGATATCATCCTCGAACTTTTTATAAAAATAATTTATTATTATATTATTTTAAAATTTTATAATATTTTTATATATCTCACCTCTTTAAAATACTCTTTCTCATTTGACGCATTAAATTATTTTTAAAAGTTACTCAAATTAATTTTTTAAAATAATTAAAAATTTACTTTTTTTATTTTGATTATTTTAAAAAAATTAAACAAACATCATAAAAACTCATAAAATAGATTTTTTTTCAAAAAATAAGTTATTTTTTTCATGAAATAAGTTAAAACAAACATACCCTATATCCTTTCAAATATTTTATCATTTGAAATATTTTATACAAGTTATAAATTATATTATCAACTACAAGTTTTGATATTAACAAACATATGTCTAGAGTTGTCTGTGATCTCTATGTCAACTCCATTTGTTTTTTTTTTCAATTTATAAATACACATTCTACATTAGTAAGACAATATTCATGTTTTTATGATACAAAATCTAATTATTCTCGAGAGGGGCTTACAACATTCAAAATGGCATGTCCAACAAATCAAAGGGCACTTTTTACTTGAGTTTTATGGGTTTGTAGATAAATTTCAGATTCTATGGAACTTTCTTTTTTTTCTTCTTTTCGAGGGCATAGATGTGATTCTCCTAAATGTTTATATGGATAATGGATTGGCCAGCAAACTAGAATATTAACAAGAGAGTCCTTCGTCAAACCGTTGGGCTTTAGAGAGTTTTGTCCCCTTATTTCTTTTTAAATTATGTTTTGGGCCTAAGCTCAATGTTACCGCATTTTCACTAGTGTCCCTACTAATGTCCTTTTCTAGAGCTATTATTAATCACACTTTAAGATGCTTTTCTATTTACATTTGTTTGATGTAATTTTATGAGTTTTGCCTTTTAGTGTATGTTTCTGGAACCTCATATAGTTTTTTCCTCACAGCTATTGAATTTTCTCATTACACTCAAAAAAAATATTTTACGGCATACAAAAGAGGGAACGACAATTTGGATCAATATATTGATTTAATTACAGAGCACCAAGATATTTTAAAATTTTAATGAAAGACTAAAGATTCTTGATAGCGGCATTGTTACAAGATGGAAGATTTTTTTTTTTTTTTTTAATATCAAGTTCAAATTTTGGAAGTTGGTTGTAAAATTTCTATACCTGTATACATGAACTAATTCTTCCCAACTTTTTATATCAAGGTTTGGAACATTAATCACAGATTTTCACATATGCATGTCAAATTTTAAAAAAATTAATGTGAAATTTTATGCTTTATATGTATCACTCAAACTTTTCTTTCCAAATCTAAGTTAAAAGTTGAAAAGTTGATGGCAAAATCTTACATTTAAAATAATGATTTTAAAATAATCTCTGCTTGTGCTTTTCTCTTAAAATGGAACATTTTGTAAAGAAGAGCATGCAGTTAAATAATTACATTTTACATAGCTAATTATTAGGGACCTTTAGCCATTTGTTTCCATTTTGAAATATTTTGTTATAAATTTTAATTAAATTGAAGTCCCAAGATGCCATTCCCAAGAGGCCAAGCCGCTGAGTTTGCTTGCTTCGCTGGAGTGATTTTTGTTCAATATTCCTCCCATAGCAAGTTAGCAACAGAATATTTGTGATAGCAAATGAATAACTAAATTAAATAAAGTAAAATTAGCGCGATGCCGCAATCCAATATCGATCCGATTTTGTTGAAGCAGAAGAAAGCAATAGAGAGATAGTTGGAGAAGCGAAGCCTTATCTGCCCCAGCCTGCGTCCGTTGAATGGAGCTTCCTGCATTTACCAGCTTCGACGCAATTTCTAAGGTTTCATTATTCCCAGTTTCTTCCAAACAAGTTTTGTATAGAAACACTGTTCGTTGCCGGAACATTGGGTTCCTCTGGTGTCGAAATTCAAAATCTTTTGCTGGAATCACCATGAGTTCAGACGAATATTCCTTCTCAAATGATTCTGGACTAAGACACAGCCTTGGAACAAAATCTGGAGTTATCGACGTGATTAGCATTGGCTGCAGGAAGGACGCAGTTCTAGATTTCTGCTTGAAGTCGCCTTTTCAGTTATCGTCGCTGCGATTTTGGTAATCCTCTATTTTTCTATACTTCTTTTAGTCATTTTCTTCTAATTTTTATTTTGAAGTGATGAAGTTGGTGAATGTTGGCGCTCTCCTGTCACGAGTCCCATATGAGAGTCTCATAAGTATTGTGGGGTTTATAAATGGGAAGTTTCTTTTACTCAATAGGCTAATCTTTTGAGATGGGTTCTCCCTTTAAACTTGTGCTCGTTACATTGATGTTTTTGTTGAGGGTCTGGTGTCACGAAAAGGGCTACCCATGGAGGGTTCTGACCGGTACAAGGCTAAGTAAAGTGCCGTGAAGTGAAGCCGTTGGGGATGTCGGCTTTGAGCTTGTCACATTGGTGCTTTCATTGAGAATCCGGTGTCACGGAAAGGGCTACCCACGGAGGGTTCTGACCGGCAGAAGGCCGAGTGAAGTGCTATGGAGTAAAGCCGCCGGGGACGTCGGCTCTTGACGGGGTGGCATTGTCACAAGTTTCACATCGGAGAGTCTCACAAGTATTGTGAAATTTATAAGTATGAGGGGCTCTCCCACCTAACAGGCTAGTGTTTTGGGATGGGCCAATATGACGAGCACAAGTCTAAAAGGAGAGCCCATCCCAAAAGACTAACCTGTTGGGTGGGAAAGCCCCTCACACTTATAAACCCCACAATACTTGTGAGGCTCCCCAACGTGAGACTCATAACAATCCTCTCCCCTCCCCCCAAAAAAAAATGAAGTTGGTTGAATGCAAAATCTAGGGCTGCACAAAAGACAGGACGGCACTGGACTTCACCCTAACCCGAAGTCCGGTCTCTTTCATGAAAAAGACTGGGTTAGGCAACCCGTAGTCCAGTCTTGTCCAGTGATAACCCGAAGATTAACAAGACCGGACTTGGTCCATAGGACTGGGAGACTAGTCCTGTCAGTCCAGTACTCACTTAGCTTTTTTTCCCTCTTTTTATTCTATGAGAGGCAATAATCCATTCCAACATAATAAACTCAATTAAGATAGTAAAAATACTTATAATAATAATAAATCCATAATAATTTCCAACAATAAAAAAAAAATATTTTTGTTATAGTCTAAATTATTTAAATTTATAAACTTTAACAAAAACAGTACTCAACAAAATTCAACAACACTATATTACAATAACAATTTAGAAACAAACTTAATAAATCTTTATGCAATTATCTCCTTAGCATCAATTACACTTTAAACATTTGTCAAAAATAAATTAATTATAATTATAATAAAAAAATTAATAGGACTGGACTGGACCAAGTGATCCGGATGCCTGGTCTCTTGTCCAGTCCAACCCGAAAAAATTGTCTGGTCTTTTTAGTCCTTTTGGTCCTAAAGGACCAGTGACTATACAGATCGAACAAGACTGGGACCATCTCGGGTTGGACTGGACCAGACAGGACTGGAAGACTTTTGCACAGCCCTAGCAAAATCTATTCACAATTTGTGACGGGCATCTTCTTCTCAGATGCCTGCAAAATCTATTCGCAAATTCTTGAGCTTTTGTTTTGAGCTTAGTTTTCCTTGTATGTTAATCATTGGAGTGTTTTTTATCCTCTTACGTACTTCACTTCACTTTCTCTTTGTACTTATGAAAAAGTGCATTTTTTTTAAAATAAATTCAATGAATGTCAATATTTTACAGGAATACTGTTATGAAGGAATCTCAAGAGGTTCAATTACAACTAAGGTCTTATGAAGAAGGTTTTGCTCTATATCAGTGTTACAGCTATTCTTTTTTGCCCCATATATTTAAGCTATCCTATCTTACATAGATATTGATATGTCTATTTCATTTCTATGCTGTCTAAGCAGTTATAAATAAGTAATTTCATTTCATTTTATGCTATGAAAATGAAGCTATACTAGAAGACAACTCATGTACATCCTAACTTTTCAAGAAAGAAATTACGGAGTAGGATATCTTAAGTGGCTTTGTTTAAATGAATTTCGGTTCTTTCAAAATATTTATATCTGACGTTTTGTTCTCTGTGGTTAAGGCATTAGACTGATATCTTTTTGTATTTCTGCAGACTCTCTTCCAAGAATTGTCAAGGCTCCATTGTTTATCAAGTCATGCTCAACGGCTATTATACTTGTTTGTACATTCCTTGCCTTATACTCTTGTAGTATGATTCTGAGTTACAATAATGATAAATTTAATCTTTTAGGCTACCATCATAAGGACTGATTATCTGTTAATTTATGGGATATTGATAACATTTATAGATGTAGAATTGTAGGCCATGAGCAACTGCGTGCTTGAAGCCTGCAACTTACACATTTATCTTTTGCTTTTTCCTGAGTTTCTAATTTCATTGACAATAATGGATGGATACTTGGCTTTATGTATAAATGATATATGAGTTTTCCTTTCAAGTTTTAGGTTCACTATTTGTCAAATTCCTCCTTTTCTTTGTAATACTTTTTCCTTATTAGTATTTTTTCTTTTTTGCATAAAATTAATTGTCCAGATATTGTTAATATTTTCATTAAGTAGAATACCTACAACTTTATTAGAGTTCTTGTTATAATTTGTCAAAATGGTTTGTATGGCCATTTTTTTCCTCACTGGAGATTATTTATCAACAAAGTTCCATTTCCTGTGATGAAATGCCCCTTATTTTTATTTTCTAGGTAGCTAGCGCAGGATATGGATCAGATCACTCTGTTGTGGTCGATATTTTCAAAACAATAAAGTCATCAAATGGATTAACAGTTGCTATTATCTTGAAGCCGTTTGTCTTTGAAGGGTTGAGGCGACGAGATGAGGTATCCCCTAGACCCCTATGCCTAATATAACAAACTTTGCTGCACTGACATAAAATAATTACTACTGTCAAACAACCCATCATTCTGATGTTTTAAACATTTTTGCTTGAAAAGAATTAGATGGTGTGTGGCAATGCTGAACGCTACTATCTTTTTGAATTTTCATGAAGTAGCATGGCTTTTTTTGTTTTGTTTTTGGTATGCTTTTAAATGTTATTAGACATATTATATATTAATTCCCTGACTTTGTTCAATTGGTTTTTCATTCATCCTTTGGAAATTAAATTTGGTTTATCGTAATATTTGTGATATAGTCTGTGTATATGTTAGTAAACCTTGCTATAAACATAGAAATTCTAACTTTTTTGAGTAAAGGAAGAAAAACTCCCAACTGTTCTCTCAAGAGGAACTGGCTCCAAGGTTTTTCTCCAAATTTATTGTGTCTCCAATTGATGCCCTTTTGTTCCCTTTTATATTTCTCTAGGTAGGGTTTCTCCTTGTTTCCCCAAGATGCCTCCTACAAGCCAAAGGAAAGAGGATTCATATTTGACCAAATCATGTAAAAGCATCCTTTAAAAGGGCATGTCCAGGCAATCTGTTTTTGCCCTGTCATATGGTCAGGGATTTTGAGATGCTACTTGAAGCTTTAAAAAAAAAAAAAACAAGAAGAAGAAGAAGCTTTGAGTCGCTGCAAAATACATGGCCATGTAAGATCATGGTCGCCATGTGATGCATTGTTTACCTGCTTCTGCACCATTTCTTCCTTGCACATCATTCAATCCTATTCATGGTTAGAATGATCCGAATCACTATGCAAATATTGATTCCTGAGCAGTACTCACGTCAGCATTACTTGTCACCCGTTTCATAGATTTCAGAATCTTGCTAACCAAGTTGCCTCGGCCATGGCTGCAGAATAATGAAAGTGCCAAAATGTTTAATTTTTACAAACTAAAAGAGTACCTCTTTCATCTAAATGAAGAGAAACTTAAAACTAACTCAGTCAAGAATAACTGTACACTATTGATCAATGAAAGGATGTAAAACACAGCATTTTGCTATTTATAGATTTTATTCTAATTCTATAATGATATCAGGTCACTGATTTTAACTGACAACAATCAACTAACAGTCTAACATGCATTTCAACTAGTGTATTTTCTTCTTCTGTTTTTTCCTCCTTCTGCTTCATTCTTTGCTGTATCCATGTATGTTTATATTTTTTATTTGTCATAACTTGATTCACAGGTCAAAAATTTGGTAGAGAAACTAAAGGAGAACACAGATTTACTTATTGGTGAGTTATGTATTGTATGTTTCTCTTAACTCCTCACTTTTTTACCTTCTGTGCTTCAATAGGGAAACAAATAATAGTCACTGAAAAAGATATCAATAGGTAGCGGTTATGACTGAGTGGAAACCTTTCTAACGGCCAGAGCTTGGCAGGCCTGTTGTAGATGTAAAAATGTCAAAGTAGAATATGAGTCTACAGATGCTATAGTAGTGCCCCAGAAGCTTTTGGTTTAGGATGTTAATTAATGATAGTTCTGAAGTGGTTGGAGGGTATTGAAAGAGGGCAAACAAAGTGAACTAGAAGAACATCACAGGATGAGGACAGCGGAAAAAAGGAAGCTCTTAAGGAGTAGTTCAGAAGAAATTGTAAATTGGGAAAGAATGATAACATGGATGATTTTATGTGATTTAAATTAAATTTTTAAACAGATTTAAATGACCAAGGATTGAAGTTGTTGATTTAAACTATTTGTTAATGACATGGTGTTGTTGTTATTGCAAGTTGATGAAAAATAATCTGAGGTAAATAGAGAAAGAAAAGTATAATTTGCATCCTCAAATTGCCAAAAAGACTGCAAAAAAATTCTGACCATTTACTGTTGATTTATGGCACACAGAAATTGATACTGATTCACTACTCAAAAAGGACTTGGTTACTCTAGATGAAGCTATGAAAACTGCAAATGATGCAGTTTTGTTGGCCATTAATGTCATATCTGTTCTCAAATCAGTAAGTTTTCATTTTTCTAATTTCTTTCTGGCTGTCTGAGTTCTTAGAAAATGATCTTATGGTTACATCTTGGACATTTCTAGGATATGCACAGGAAACTTGTGGATGGCTTGCGCAGTGGCATCAAAGAAATCAGTATTTTGGAAATTAATGAAGTAAGATTCTAAGATCATTCACCATTGTTTTAGACCTTTAGCCCCATCATGCAAATTAGCATCTTTACCATCAAACTTCAAATTTTGCTCTTTTTTCCCCTTTGCTAGAACTAAGTAATGTTTTCTGTTGTTTCTGTTTGCAGATATTTGCACGCTATAAGGAAGCTAGAATTGGATTTGGAGCAGCATATAACATGAAAACTTCCATTCTACGGTCTTTGCTTGATTGTCCTTTCCTTGGTGTTAGTTTGAAGGTATAACCCAGCTTCATATTGATGTATGAATTACTTGTTAAATTTTCTCTATTGACATGTCATGATGATACTCAAAAGTGTTGTTTCTTCTGTCGCGGTCTGTCTTATAATATTCTTGATACCAATAAAGTCACTTCATGTCTAGCATACCATAAACATGTTGCATTTGCCATTTGTTTGGTGTATCGTTTTATTGGTGTATCATAATATATTGCCGTTAGACTGTTGAAGTCATATTTGAAGCATAATCTTGTGTGTGTTTGTGTTGTTTTACTGTTAAAGTGTTAATATGATGTTATTTAGTTAAATAATATGTGCGCATCTCTTCAATGTTACAATGTGCTATCCATGTCCCACCGGTTCTAGGCTCTAGCCTCTAGGAGTGTCCAATGGTCAATTGTGCACCACACATCATTAGCAACCATGTTAAATATTAATTTTATGTTTGCCCGCTTTCTCTCGTCTACTCTCTGCCACTAAATTAATTTGTTATTTATCATGATCAATATTATTTGTTTAGGACTCAAATGGCATGGTTATATGCAATCTCACAAGTTCAGTTCCTATCAATGAGAATGATACTGCTGCCTTTCTACATACTTTCCGCCAAACAACAGAATACACAAAGGACATAATAGTATTTACAAACCATGAGCCTAATCTTGAGCCAAACCTCCTAATCACTACTGTTCTTGCACTGGGGTAAGTATTTTACTCAAAGGTTTCACATTTATTGATGAACTTAATTTTCAGTTATTTTTCTTCCCCATGGAGGGGCAGCGTCTACAAGAACTTCAATTGAATTCTATAGAAGCACGGATTGATGGAATCACAGAACATTCGATTTTACAAATCATTAAGAATTGGGAAATAAAGCTAGGATTTGTTATGAGCAATCACTAAGAATTTTAATTCTTGATGATTATTACAAAATTTTTTACCATATTTTATTCGATCAACTATCCAGTGCACAGATTTTCTGGAGCTGAAGTCTTGAGCGACATTGTTGAAAAACCTTAACGTTGGACTTTTAAAAGATAGGGAGTTTATCATTATCTGGACTCTTAAAGTACATTTTTGCTTAGAGATCTTAACTATCTCTTATGATTATCTTCTGGAGATTATCTCATAGTCAATATTCATTTCTACAAGGTCATTTAACTATTTTAGACACTGCTGGTAATTTGTGGATAATGTTGATGGGATTGATTTGTATCGGTGGCATAAATGTTAATGTTCTGCTGTATTTCTGTCCATGTTGCCAAGTTTCTGACCAGGCAAAGTTGACTTGATTTGTTCCAATTTATTAGCAGCATAAATGTGCAACAGTCTTCCCTGAGTGGTGGCATGCTTTCTAGACTTGCCCGGCATTTTCCTCTTTTCAGCTTTTGGGGAAAACATCAACAGCAACCAGCTGACACTAGGAAAGAGAATGAATCTGAAAGTATATCTCTTTCTCAAGTCACTGAATTGTATGAATTTAATGATGGGGATAGAATTGATTCTGATGTGATAGATGACAAGTTCAACAAGGACTTTGAATCTTCAGAGCCACTAGTGAGTAACAAAACTACAAAGTCAAATGCATTGAGGTTTCTGCTCTCTCTAGTTTGTTCATTCTTTCATTTTTTGTAGACTTACATTGGTGTTTGTAAATGAATCGATCTTTTCTTCATTCTCCTTTGCCATTCTGGCCAATTTTAGGTGTTCTGAACAAAACAGAGGAGAACAATTTGACACAAGTTCTGATTTTTCCAGCCTTTACGATGAAATTATTAGAGGTAACTATGAGACACTGGATGGCCAGGGTAAAAAAAGCTACGAGACACTGAAATATATTATTGCTTTGCATTTGTGAACTGGGAACAAATTTTTTTTCCTTCTCTCATTGAACTTAAACTATATCAGGTGACCTTGCATGTCAAAGGGAGAAACTCATAAATTGGAATCTTGGTCCTGGATATGAGGTGGCACAAGAGTGGGCCAAAGAAAGGGCAGCTGATGGTACTTCTTCGATGGCTGATAATGTTAACATCTTCAACCTTCCTGTTGGTGTAAGATCTTCAGAACAGTTGAAAGACTGTTCAGAAGCTTCCATGGCACAAGAGCCAGTGACTGAAAATGATGTCAACGTGCCTAATAAAAGCATGTCTTGGAGTGCATTGACTGATGCAGGTCTGGAAGCGGTGCTGGATTTTGCATCTACACTTTTAAATGGAAAGTATGCGAACAAATCAAACAAGCAAGGGGTTCTTTCTGTTCGAGCAGCATCAATGCTGGAAGCAGAACGAGATTCGTCAAAAAAATGGATCCCAATTGTGGAAATGCAATATAGAGGAGGTCAATACAAGGGACGATGCCAAGGAGGTCTACCTGAAGGGAAGGGGCGACTTGTCCTTGGAGATGGAAGTATATATGACGGCACATGGCGCTATGGTAAGAGATCTGGTCCTGGGACTTTCTATTTCATCAATGGCGACGTGTTCCAAGGATCATGGAGGGACGATCTTATGCACGGCAAGGGTTGGTTTTATTTTCACACAGGGGATAGGTGGTTTGCTAACTTTTGGAAGGGAAAGGCAAATGGTGAAAGCCGTTTCTACACAAAGAATGGGGACGCCTTCTTTGGCAGTTTTGAAGATGGATGGCGACATGGGCAATTTCTATGCATTAATGCTAAAGGAAGAAGGTACATTGAGGTCTGGGAATATGGTGTTATTCTAGAAAGCAGGCATTTAGACAAAGATGATGGAGAAGAGTGAACACTGCTTGATCAGTTGAATTTCTATTGGCTTGTCTTAGCTGGTCCTATGATTTTTCCCCATTATGTATAGTTGTTGATAGTATGCCCCCCTTCAGTTTGGGTCGTAGTCACTATTCAAGATACTGTGCTTGTAGTGGCTGATCTTCTCAATTTTAGTATTTTAATATCGTATGTTCTTGTTGACTCGTCAAATTGACCAGCAAGCAAGAATCAATCAATCATCAATCAATTGTTATATATTTCTCTTGAAAGTTTAGTAGCTTAAGAATAGTGTGATAGGATTTGATAGATAGGGTTTATTTTAAATTGTGTATTTTGTTTGTAGTAGTCTTTTGAAAATTGGTATTTATAATTTGTCGCATTAATGAGCCAGAGCCATACGCTTGAAGGATTAAACAAGACAGTGTTTAGAAAACACTCGCACAACACGAGTTAGAAAGTTTGGATACATCTATACAACACGTGGGTTAGCATTCCAGTTTTTGTATGAACAGACAACTTTTGTTGCCATTTGTTTAGCATAGCTAGATTTTAATACACAGAGTGTAACATTGTTATGCACTATACCAGTCACGTGACTGTTGCATCCTAATTACATTATTTGATTACTTCTCAGAGACAGAAAGCATGCCCGACCGACAACAATGGATAGGGCCCTGAAAAAAAATTGATAATATACTTTTTCCCCGTGCTTAATTTCATTTATATCATTTTTTTTAGTTATAATGTGAGATTATTTCTATTTAACTTGCTGTTGATTTGACTTCTCTGATATTAGTTATGCTTTTAGGTGTTCTCTGATCGCCTTGTCAATAACATGATCAGATTCAATTACGTCTTGATGACAAAATATGACGTCTGAAAGTGTGATTCTCACATATGATCCTTGGAGATAATTGAAAGCTTTGTTATTTTTGATAGTATTATCATGATTATAATAATGAATAATTCAGGTCAGTTTTGAACCATTGTTTCCTAACAGTATGAAGAAATGGAGTGGAATCAAGATCAGTAGCCATAAACTTAATGAAAGGTGAGGATGGAGGAAATGGAGGGAAATGGAGGGAAAAGAAATGGAGAGATCCCAAATCCCCTCTATCAGGCCATGTTGATACTGTAGACTTTGCCCCATGAGCAATATACGTAATTAGGGAACCAAATTAGATGTTTTTTATAAAATCTATTATAATATTCACAGGTCCTTCAATAAACTCCTTACAAGTTACAACGTGGGCACGTCATTTTATTGTAAAAAGGAGCCTTTACTTTAATTGGGTATACATACTTCCACATATGGCTCTTTTTCAGTCGCAAACAAGAATACAAGACGATAATATTATTTGTCTTCTCACACACGCCAAGACACTTTACTTTCTTCTTTGTCCCAATGTGCAAGAAACGTAAAGATGAGTTAGAACTTACAATTCTTGTTTAAAAACAAGCGAGATTCCATCTAGCTGGGAAAAAAGTGAGAGACTCCAATGTGCACGGTACCAACCGCCCAAAAAATTTAAAAATAAATTTAGTATACATAAATCAGTCAATCAATATCAATAGTATTATATATATAGAACTTTGACACACATAACAAAGACTGGTAAATTTGCATACAATTGGAATCTCAATCAACAATTTATTTTTTCGATTAAGGACTTGCAATCGAGGATTTTGTCCAACGACCATTGGAATTTCAAGCTCATCTATCTACATGCGAAGATCCCGATCTGCAAGTTTGAGAAAAGGAAAAAAAATTACTATTTTGTGAAAATCTCTCTTAATAATGAAAACCTTCAACGCCTTTTGCTTAATAATGTGTTCGCCCTCTGTTGCACGGCGGTCTACATCCGAAGCTTGTTATTTTGGATATGTAATTTTTGGACAAATTAATATGTTTCTACTGTGCACTTGAGAAAATTGGTCATGAAGTTCAACAATTGCCATTTTTTCTCTCTTAAAAGTCCATGCTCAATAGTCCAAGATATCAAGCATATCTTAAATATGTTTTTAAGTTATTAAATTTTGAAGTGTGGCTCGTTAAGCTACCATTTAGTTTCTTTTAATTTCCCTTTGACTTTAACTTTATGATTTTCTTTTTCTTTTGTTAATATATTTGATCTTTTTCTAAAAGACATATAACTAAGACTAATATCTGAGAGGAATATATTAATTGAAGAAGACAATGATCGATCCATTAGTTCTCGAGGGTCTTCTGGAGTTCTATGGATACTCGATCTTATAAGAGAGAGAGCTTGGCAATTACGTGTAACCCAATCAAGGTAGGGCATAATATATTTTTTTTTTATTAGCCACAAGTATCCTTTTATTAAAAATAATTAATTTATTGAAAATAAGATTAATACTGAATGAAGGCACATTTTGAGAATTCAAACCTTGATTCAAACCTTAATGATACTAATTGAATTAAAGTATTTTGAAGATTCTAAAAAATATACTTGTATAAAAAATGATTTGTTGATCTCAAATACTCCAAAGTCCAACCCGTATTATTGAGAATAACCTATTGTGTTTAATTAATTCTATAATTTTAGTTGTGACCATCGCCGTGTCCGTCGGATCTATAGCATCTCCCTCACATATGATATTGGCTTGTAACTACCGTTTGCTAATAAGTAATTTCAAAGGTTTTTGAATTGGTAAAACTGCTGTAACACTTTCAATTCTAAGACAGACTTAATTATTCGCTTTATAACTGAAATTCTAATTATCGAGAGTATTCATTTTTCAAACTTAATGCAATAATATATGAGGTTCATATAGTTAAAAGAAACCTAGAGCCCGATATGATGCGTTGCTGTTTGCATATATGGAAGCAGACAACAATGAAATCACAAAATACATGCACAATCAATAATGAAAACGAATCTTCATAAGGAAGCAAAGCAAGCGTTAACATGCACTTCCAAAACAACTATTCCGAGGAAGAATGAATAAATATATTTCCCTTTTTCCTACTTCATCTTTAGGTCTAATCTTCTACATTTCACTTGAATAATTAAAATTCATTTCTGATGAATAACTTATCTATCTCTGACCTCGTCATTAAGATTCTGCATTGATTTTTGCCTGAACGATCTTAGAGAGTTGGACCAGTGCAACATCAACTGCATCTCTAAACCCAATCTCACTCGCATTGGGGTGAGCATATGTCAGTCTTGGGATCATCTCGATCACAACTTGTCGCATTCTCTTCACTTTCTCCCTCGGAATCTTCATCAGTTCCTTCTCGATCGTCTTGCTTTCTTCTCCTTTCTCATCAATATACACCGAATATGTCTCTTTTTCCTCCGCCGGCATGTACCACGCGTATTGACTGTACGCCGTGTGCGGCGAGAAGAACACCGGAATGCAGCCTGCCAGCACCGAGTCGAACGTCGAACGCCGCGTGAACGAGTCGCCGGGTGCCTGCAGGCAGAACTCAGACTTGGTCATCACGTCCAGCACCACGCTTGGCTCGTGACACCTGACTCCTCCGGCGTCGCCGCCGCATTTCAAGAGCTTGCACCGCGTTGACTCCTCGCACTGCCGGAGAATCTCCCCTCGGATCGCCGCCTTTTCCAAGCCTTTCCTCGGACCGCCGACGAAGGAAAACAGGTACGGTCGCTCCGATTCCATCATCTTCCTCTGCCATCTCTCCAGTTCTGAGATTGTTGTGGGATGGAAATAAGAAGGGTAAGGAATGCCATACTGGTTCAAGCCTTTCCAAGGTTGTCTCTCCACGGTCAACACCGACATGTTCTGGACAGGTGGCAGGTTCAAGAGTATGTTGGCGCCAAAGTCTGGGCCGTCTTCTGTCCTCATGAAATCCCACGCGGTTCTCCCTAGGGCAAGAAAATGGTCCTTGCCATTGTGTTTCTGCCACGCGGGCTGATCCTGTAGGTACCGGACGAGGTCAACGGCTAATTCATCGCGTAGTGTGTGATTAGCCTCGCGGAACATGCCAGAAGCGTGGAGCCCACCGTAGAAGGGTACGTAGAAGAGGTTAGCTACGGTAGGGTCCCACGTGCGGCAAGGGTGATTCTCCACGCGCGCGTGGACGATCATCTCGGCGATGAACTGGTGGGTGGCGAACCAGGTGGCGGAGGAGAGAGACATGTAATTGGGAATGGGCTGGCCGAGGCCGTGATTCGCTACGTGCGGGCACATGTTGGTGTATATGTTGAGGTTCTGACAGCGAGTGAGAAGGCCGACGTTGAAGCGAGGAGGTAAATTGTAGACATAAACTGATACAGTGCCATCACAATCGGCTCTCGGAAGCAATAACTTTCTGGCGGCGCCGCCGGAGTCGGCGGCGGGAGCGGTGGAGGAGGAGGGTGGTGTGAAGCGGAAGAGAAGAAGGAACCAGGAAGCAAGAAAGAGAGAGAGGAGAAGAGTGTACCTCAAGTTAGGAGAGAGAGAGCGAGTGGGGTGGTGGGGGTCTTTGAGTTTGGAGAAGCTCTCTGACTTGAAGCTCCATGGCGGATCAGCTGAGGCAGGCGATTGCTTTCTGAAGAACATGAAGAAGAAGAAGAGAGAAGGTTGTGTGGTGTGAAATTTAGCTGGAGAAGACTAACAAGCCTCACGAGTAGAAGAGTCCACTATTTGGATGATTAATACGAAAGGATTGAAAATTAATGCAAAAATGACAATGATAGGTGAGGACTCCGGCGTCGTGAAATTCACGGACAGAGGACTTTACTTCAATATAAATGCATATTTATTTATAAATAACTTCTAATAAATTTTACTTAAATCAAGAAAAATTTGAGATAAAAAATAAATTCGTGCCTTATAAATATAATAAAAAATTATGCTTTTCTATTTTTTATTTTTTAATTTATTTTAATTTATTAAAGAGATATTGATAATACCAAAATGTGCTAATAAAAATAAATTTTGCCAGCTAAAACTTGCATATTAATTACTATAATAGTTACAATGACATGATGAATACATGAATCTCGTGCATGCATGTCAACATTGGCTCCCTGTTTTTTTTTTTTTTTGGTATTTTATTATTAAACATATGAAGTGACATTAACAATGCAAAAAGTTTTAGCAAAATACTGGAACTCTTGACTGAAATTTTGAAATGACAAATAATAAAGGAAAGAAACACTATATGAAGCTCAAAAATATCATAATTTTTATGACTTTCTATATATTTTTATCGATATTTGTGCTGTAATTAAAACATAGATATTGATATTAATTTTTTCTATTTAAATGCCATTCTAATTACTTCAATTTATTTTCATGCTTTAACTGAAATGTTAAATCTGTTATTAATGTTCATTCAAATTATTTACAAACTTGACTAAGAAAATAGAATGAGGGGGAAACAGAGAAGAAAAGATACGAAAGCACAAGCAATTATACAAATTTAAAAATTATAATAATAAAAAAGCAGGCGCAAAAACAGTTGTTTTTTTTTTTAAAAAAAAGGGTGAGATAAAGTCAAGGAAGGATGGCTTGAACAAGACAAAGAGAAGAATTCAAAATATAGCAAGCACATGCAATTGGCTTAGGTGTCAAAAGCTTACAATTCAGCTCCTACCATTACAAACCAATAATGGTTTTTGCATATAATATATCGATGGTTGGTTTGTTGTATATACATAAAAATATAATACGGTAATAGGAAATGATGTAATGACCGACTTTTTAGCACGAATCATTTGTGCACAGAGAGGAATGTTACACGGCACAAGAATATTGCCTCGTCATTCTCAATCATATATATATATTTATATAAACTTAACAAATTTCTAAATTATGAGTTTCACATGATATTTTAAAAATTAAATTCCCTAAATGCATCCATACATTCATCATTCATGTGTCCCCCTCCCCCCTTCCCAAAAAAAAAAGGTGACCCCAAATGTTCAATTGAATACAAGTTTTATGTATTATTGTTTTTTTATGTTCTTCTTGTTTTTTGTTTCTATATCAATTTTTGAGACGTTAAGATTTTTAGACTGGATATTTTGTACAGTGTGTGTTTCTCTATAAAATATTAATAATAAAAATAAAAGGGAAAGTAACAAAATAGAAAGACAAGAACTTTGTCCTGTTGACCTTCATTGCCTTGTGGCCTTTGAATATGTTGGGTGCGTTTGGGGAGCGTAGTGTCGGCAGCATTTTTAACACATTTTTTGCGAAGCCACATGCATATTTAATTTAGCAGCTCGTCCTGAAACAGTGGAAGCTGCGTTCAACATGGGTGGGACACTCTGCTGTCACAGAATATCTCTAACACATTGTGAAGCAATTAATTAGTAAATTATACTTCTCCCACTTAAAAATATAAAAATTTTAATTGAATATTACTTAATAATAAAATAATTATTTATTTTTAAATTAACTCTATCTTTTTATATTTATTTCTATTACATATCTTACAATAAATATAAAGTCATTTATCAATAGAAGCACCTTTAAAAAAAAAGATAATAATTACACTTTAAAAGACTAAAAGTACCTTACATTTTTTAATATCTAATTTAAAAACCGATTATACTACTAAATTTTTAAAAAATTTAGAACCGATTATCCCCAAAAAATTTAAAAATAATTATTTATTTTTAAATTAACTCTATCTTTTTATATTTATTTCTATTACATATCTTACAATAAATATAAAGTCATTTATCAATAGAAGCACCTTTAAAAAAAAAGATAATAATTACACTTTAAAAGACTAAAAGTACCTTACATTTTTTAATATCTAATTTCTCAAAAAATATCTTACATTTTTCGATGGAGGGAATATAAAAATAATGATAAATTGATTGGTTGAAAAAAAAATTTATCCCCAAAAAATATAGATTAATTTTTTAAAAATTTAGTAGTATAATCGGTTTATTGATATATAAAATCTATTACTGAAAATTTAATATGATTAATATATAACAATATATCATTAACAAATATAAGAATAAACTATAATGTAAAATATAATAAATATTAGCCTGTTTGTTTGGTTGATTATATAACATAAACTATATCTAAAAATAATTCAAATCAACATTGTTATTATACTATGATTATTTATTTACTTTAAGTAATTGTTTACTTTTTTTTAATTCCAATTATTTTAAATTTCCTGTGTGTGAGAGTTAAAATTAGTTTACTTCAAAGTGGAATATAACAATTTATTAAAATAGAATAAAATACTGAATGATGGCATTTAAAAAAATAGAATATAACAAGGGGAAAATTTTAGTAAAAATTTCTTGATTCAACTTAATTTCAGTCAAAACTTCTCAAATAGAGAATGTGTGAACATTATAATGAGATGGTTAGTTACTTTAGAGCCTACACGGATAGGATAATTCTGAACTCTTTCTCGCTCTCACTGAAATATTCCAACTTGGCTTATAAAATCAATTGATGGCTGTGTTTAGAGGATGTAGTGGCCGTGTGATTTATATGATAGTAACAAAGTTTGGGTTGGTGGCTTTAGCTGCCAGTTAACACAACCATTGCGAAAATCCAAGGCTTGCATTTGCATGTATGTTGGAATAAGAGACACTCCAAGGTTGCTGCTTTCATGGACAGTGCTGAAAGCCATCAACTTAATTACTAGCTAGAGGCTGTGATACAAAACCACCTCTTCAGAGCTCTAATTGAAGAAGCAAGATCCTTTTTTCATTGTGATCCGCAACTTAATTACAATCAGTGGCCGAGTAATGTAACAGAGTCAGATTAGAATCTACAATCTATGGTCAGATTAGATCAATGTGTTGCAGTTTGTATTAAGTTTCTCTTCATTTCCATGGAAGAGGAGGAATTCTTTCATGCACGACCATTCTGGCAATTTCATTATTCTACAAAAATGGCAGCGGCAACTTGGTTGGCAAGATTCCAAGAATTATGCAATATTCGTTTGTAAGTAGAAAAGTGTTTTTAAAAAAGAAAATGGTAAAATGTATACATTTATATCCCATTTTTTTTAGATATATTAATTCTTTATTTTCTGTTTAGAAAACACTTTTCTATATATCAAACATGTACATATATGAAGCAGGTGCCAGGTAATGGTGATGTGAATACGGCTCAGAGATGAATAACACTCGACACCATTAATTCAGAGAATCCATCAATACTCTGCAACGTGACTAAAGGTTAGACAGTTGTTAAAGAGAAAATGAGATAATGTTATGCTTATTTGGCTTCAAGATCCAGAGTATAGCAATCAATAGTTATGTAACAATTATGTGCATTCTCAATCTCTCGCCATAATTTTCTAGTTTGTATATATCAACTACAACAGAGTGGTCAGATCCATAAGCACAATAGGAAGCGAAATGTAGTCCTTGGCATTGGGCTTAACAGCCAAGATTTCAATGTGGCTTACAATACATCTACCAATATTTAACTCAATGTTAACTCCACATTGATTGTTAATCATTTCAATGGCGGGAGACAGATCCTGAGCCCGGGAGGGAATTTATTCAAATATTGAAAATTGAAAAAAAAAATAAATAATGTTACTTACACTTCTTGTAAATTTTCTCTACAAAGGTTTCATGTTTTATAATCATTGAATAATATTTAAGACTTAAAATATATAAGTTTGAAGTTTAATAGCAACACTAGGGATGTAAAATATGAAAGAAATAGATGGAAAATATAAAAACTTATATTCCTAGTATGCAATTTTCTACAAGCTACTTACACATGGCTCTATATCAATAAAGGATTACTAGAGGAAATTTATATCAACCAAGGAACAATAAATTTTAAAACTGTATTGCAACTTCTTGGTCTTTGAATGATATTAATTTTTTTACATGAAATGACCAAATTGTCCCTAATATGAGCTTCTGCCATCAGTGAGGTCATTGGAGGTTCAACTCCAACAATACTTTTATTCAAGAATAATTGGTAAAGGTAGGTAAGGGAGTGTTTGATCTCATGACTCTTTAATTATCTAAAAAGTTTTGTGGCCACTAAGCTACCAAGTCTTTTAATTATAAATAACAAAAAACATATAAGTAATAAACCAAGTTTCTAACCACTTCCATATTATAACACAACAATGTTTTGTTAATTCATTAATGGCACTTGTTATGTTGCTAATGTAACTTATATTGCAACATTTTTATTATCTTGGAATAGTTAAAAAGTATTGCTATAGGCTTGAAAAATGTTGCATAAAGGTATAGGCAATAATTTTCAAGTGTTTTCAACTTGAGTGTTGCTTATTACTTTAAGCAACATTTTTTTTTAAATTTTTGGCCACATCATTTGAAATTTTGTTGCCTAAAACCATGAAAATAGTCAATAGTTTTTGGAAAACTTATTGTAACAGTTTTGAAATGTTGCTTATTACATAAAATAGCCAATATTTAAAAATTATTGCAAAATAGTTAAAAAACCAAATATTAATATTTTCTTCCTCGCCTAAGATTCAAACCTTGAACCTCTTGAGAGAAAAGAATGACTTTAACTACTCTTTTAAGTTAACTTATTGATATTATAATGCAAAATATTATATATATATATATATATAATTTTTAAATTATTTTTTTAATTTATCCAAATAATAAATTGAAAAATTAAGAGAATAAATAAATAAAAGTGT